CTCTGCAGGGTGTGCACATGGGAGAGGGAGGTTCAAACCATGTCCTGGGGCCACCCCAACCTGACTTCACTTGCTGGCGATTGTTCCTGGCCAGGCTCTGGCAAACCACTGCCTGTGAGCAGAAGCCTTGTCTGAAGAGTCCCTCGAATCCTAGGGCTGCACTCGAGGGCTCTTCCAGCCCGCCGCTCAAAGCAGGAGCAACCCCAACGAAATCAGCCCAGCCAGGGCTTTGTCACACCAGGCCTTACACCTCTAGGGATGGAGGCTCCACCCCCTCTCTAGGGAACCCAGCCCAGCGCTTCCCCACCTGCCTAAGGAAATAGTTTTCCCTAATATCCAACCTAGATCTCCCCCACTGCAACTTGAGACTTGCTCCTCGTTCTGCCTCCACTGAGAACAGCCTCTCTCCATCCTCTTTGGAACCCCCCTTCAGGAAGTTGCAGGCTGCTCTCAAATCCCCCCTCGCTCTTCACTTCTGCAGACTAAACAGACCCAAAACCCTCTGCCTCCCCTCCTAGGTCATGTGCTCCGGTCACCACATCACTTCTGTTGCCCTCCACTGGACCCTCTCCAATGCATTCATGGCCTTCCTGTAATGGAGCCTAGAACTAGACACAGTACTCCAGATGTGGCCTGCCCAGTGCTGAATAAAAGGACTACAGTAATTACCCGTTTAACACGTGCCCACTTAACATGCTTTTGCAATGGCACGATTTTATTTTTAGGGAATGTTTTTTGACTAACAGGACCATCCCTGAAATAACACAAAAATAATCAAGTGGCAGACTACTCGCAGCGGTGTAAGTTAGTGAAAACAGCGGTAATACGCATGAGCGGCTGAATATACGTGGTCACAGTGCTCCTCTGCTCACTCACATGTTTATCTTTGTGTTTTAACAAACTGCAGCGACTTGTGTTGCTAGATCTCTAATGCTGACGTTGACAACCCAGCGCCAACACAAAATTGACTTTGCCACCCCCACCTGAAATGCAACCCCCACCTTTTCCTTTATTTTTAATGGGAAAAGTGACCCCACATAGCACATTTTCACTTAGCACGAACATTTTCAGAAATGCATCTATAGTGGTAAATGAGGAATTACTGTAATCACTTCTCTAGTTTGCACCGATGCGCCTGAGAGACGCTCTTGCGTGCCTGCTGCTGCACGGGAGGAGAGATGTGAATCCCATATCCTGGGGGCTGACCGGCTTACGCCAGGCCTCCTGCAGCTGGTGCCTTGGCGTGGGTGGCTCCGATCTCACAACTGAGCTGGGCGGGGGGAGAGCGCGGTGTGCAGCTTGGACCAGCTGAGTTTCAGCGGGAGCAGGAGCGGCTGGGGCTGCAGCTGCCTGGATGCATCTATAGTGGTAAATGAGGAATTACTGTAATCACTTCTCTAGTTTGCACCGATGCGCCTGAGAGACGCTCTTGCGTGCCTGCTGCTGCACGGGAGGAGAGATGTGAATCCCATATCCTGGGGGCTGACCGGCTTACGCCAGGCCTCCTGCAGCTGGTGCCTTGGCGTGGGTGGCTCCGATCTCACAACTGAGCTGGGCGGGGGGAGAGCGCGGTGTGCAGCTTGGACCAGCTGAGTTTCAGCGGGAGCAGGAGCGGCTTGGGCTGCAGCTGTCTGGCTCGTGTGTCCGGTTTCAGGGCGGTTTAAGCAGACGCTGTGTTCAGAACTGGCCGCTGAGCCAAGCAGAGCGCTGGCCCCAGGCCGTAGGGACCGGAGTGGATGTTTTGCAGCAATGACTTGGCACCTGGGGGCTTGGGAAGGAGCCGAGCAGGGATCTGGCGTGGAAGCAACGCGGCCGAGTGCTGGCGCTGTCCCCTGGATGGGGGACAACAGGCATCTGGCTGCTCATCCCTGATTTTAATTCTCCGGTTTAGTTTTTTTTTCTAGCTCTTCCCCTCTTCATCCCCACCCTGCTCTCCAGGTTTAACCCTCCTGCCTTTGAGGAGGGGGGTTGAGTCTCCTTCCTTCGCTTCTTGCCACCTTTGTCCTTGTTCAAAAGGAGGCTGAGCCCAACCCGCCTCCTGGGCTGGTGTAAATTGGCAGTACTTGCTGCCAGGGCTTCCGGGGGGGCAGCACTGGTTTACAGCAGCTGGAGCTGGAGCTGGGTGGGAGGTTGAACCTGGATCCCAGCTTTGTGGCTGTCCGCTCAAGTGCGGCTTCTTGAGGACTTTCCCGGAAGCGAAGCTGTTAACAGTGGACCTCCCTTATGAGTCAGGAGCTAGTTGTGGGCTGTGTGGTGGAAGCAGATCTGGGGAGCAGCGAGTCTGACACAGTCGCTTGACCAAGCAGAACCGCCCCCTCTCGCTAAGAAAATAAATATCCACGTCCTTTTCCCCTCAGCCTGTTTCTCTCCCCGTCTGGCTGCGTGTCGCAAGACCCTGGCCTGTGTCCTGTGCTTTCTTACTGCTAAAGGGAAACGCTGCACCATTTGGGTGAAGAGATGCCCTTGGGGCAGAAGAGCGAGGACGTTTTCAGAGTTTGTTTGCCGAGAGTGGTTCAGCAATCGCATCGATATTCTTTAAAGCCTCTAATTAAGATGTTTGTCACGTGCGCCCACTGATCCATTTCCAGCCCCAAAAACTGCAGAGAAAGAACCTCCAGGTTGCAAAGTCCAGTGCTCTGAAGTTAGGCCAGGTTAGGTGCGGGTTGCTAGTGCAGTCTTCATCCCTCATGGGCATATGCATTCAATGATTTTTCCAGATCACCTCTGTAGAGCTCTGTGCAGATGTAACCCACACGCCTGGTGTGGTTCACTGTCCCATGGAGTGGCATTTAGACCACTTACAGTAAAGTGTGTCTAGACGACATGGCTCCATAGTCAATGAAGCGGGAATTTAAATAATCCTCGTGTCATTAAAATAAACATGGCCGCCGCACTGTGCCGACGATCAGCTGATCAGGCACAGCGCAGCAGTCGAGATGCGGATCTGTCGGCTGTGGAAGCCTTTGCCGACTGATCCCTAATGCCTTACGCCATGTAGTCTAGACATACCCTAGAGATAAAGAACAAGGCAGCTCTGCAGCCGAAGATATGAACCAGCTGGTTTTATAGCTCAAGCCGTAGAGCAGTGTTTCCTAAACTTTTTAAGAATACAAAACCATTTTTTTTTTTATGGGGAGCACCAAAGATTTTTTTGTTGAGGGAAAAAAAAAAGGGTCAGGGGGAAAATTATTGAGGGGGAAAAAAAGAGCCGGGGAAAGTTATTGAGCAAAAAAAAAAAAAAAAAAAAGTCTCCTGCCCCTTTAAGGGTGGCTATTTTGAATTCTATTATTCTCTGACTGCCTCATGGCACGCCGGTGTGCGGAACATGGCTGTTCAGGCTCCTCCACTAAGCTTCAGAGGTCCCAAGTTCAAATTTGCCTGGTAGCAGTTATACAGCTACAACACTTGTATCTGCATCATATCCACAAAAATAAGCTATGGATTTGCAACACTCTACACCTCTCTTTTTTTCCTGAGCACAGGGTGGGCCCTGCTCCCTGAGTGAGAAGTTCTTGAATTGTTTTCTTTTATCCTTGGTGTTCAGTGCATGGAATTGGCTTATTTGCTGCACACAACCCCTGCGCTGGGCTTTTCTACGAGGCGCTGACTGTACCGGTTTAGTTCCTCGTGAACATAAATGAATCTCTCTTCCCAGCGCCTCTGCGGTGTGTGAGGGGTTAGCCTCATTTTACACAGGGGGAGCTGCAACAGACTTTACAGCCAAAATTATCAATTGTGTCCACTAGTTTTGGGTGCTCAGTTTGGGAGGCCTCAGGCCTGTTTCTTCTGCATTCTTAACATCGTATCACGGGGCTTTGGCTGTAGCTGTCGTTCTCAGTATTTCAGTAAATCGGCCCCCGGCAGGACACCCAGAAAGTGATCAATTCACATTCAGTGACACCCCTAAGAAGATGTTTGGTTTATACGATTGGCAGAGGCGGGGTACAATCCATTTCTCCAGGGGAAGTATTCAACTGCCTTAACTATGAGACCATTTTCTCTCTCTTGGCAGGCCTCTGCCTCATCTACCGCACCCCTGCCAACCTCTGCACAAAATGAGGCAGGGCCCTCCCGGACAACAGCCTCCTTCATGTACAGTTTTGATTTACCTTTGGGATGTCTTTACTGAATGGTGCAGGGATCCCAGGGAAAAAGCATGTGGGATTATAATCCATGTTCTCTCTAAGTTTTTCCATCCATGTGCGGAATAAAATGTTTATGTGCACCAAGGCATGGGGCAATGTGCACCACCAGCAGAAACAAAAACGGAGCTGTGGACATTCTGCTAATCAGCTGGGCAGCATTTGAATTTCTCATGAGCATCTGCACAAACACCCAGCTTGCAGGGAACACTAGTAGAGTACAATTTCTACCACAAACCAATGCTCTCTACAGGAAAGTAATATATGTAGGCAATAATACTGTGCTTTC